GGGTTTTGGGTTCTTAAGGTAGAATGTAGGGTTACCATATTAGGGAGTTTTTGTTTTGGATTTGGAGCTTTAGGGGTTTGGGATTGGGGTTTAGTTTTCAGGGCTTTGGGGGTTGGTGTATTAGGGTTTTGTGATTGGGGTTTGCGGTTCAGGGTTTAGGTTCAGGATTGTGAGGATACTTGTACGCGTACAGGATTCCGAGTTTGGGGTTGCGAAGAAATCTTGGAAACCCTAAATCTTGAAGTACTGTTCGAAGCCCACAAAGGCTTGGACCCTAATCCCTTCCCCGTCTCCAAATGAAGGCTTTACGTCCGTGGATCCTGGAAACCCTGAGCGCAATCCCGAACCAAAGCTCTAAACCATTAGACTTCGACCTACTTGCTCCCGAAGCCGTAAACTCGAAACCCAAGGCCATGACGCTTACAGGTTTACGGTAGTAAAGCAGCAACTTTTGCCTCAAGGCTGCTGCCATTGCCGAAAGGACGCAGAAGGAGTCAGGGGTCTCAGGATGTTCATCAACTTCCGCCCTGACCCACAAGTTTGCACAGATCTTCGAATATCACTTAGTTAGATGTACTTATGGAAGACACCTAAGCAAATCAAGAGGACCGCCGATCTGATTTCAGGAGCTTTTTTTTATCAGGGCATATTGGAAGAACTTGGTCGGGATCAGGATGAAGAGCTTATAGGGTTTAGGATTTAGGGTTGAAGGGTTTAGGGAGGTCAGGGATCAGGATTTTGATGAGTTTAGGCTGTAGGATCAAGGTTTGGGATTTGGGCTTGTCAGGTTTAGGATTTAGGCTTGCGGGTTTAAGGCTTAGGCGCAATGGACCGTGGACGTCGTAGGTGTTGTGTAGCTTTGTCAGTGCCGTGGTTGGTTTATCAAACTCTTCACTCTACTTATAGCCTAACCGGGCTTTTGTAAGGATGCTGACTTTTCAAGCCTTTAAAAGAAGTGGCTCATGGAACAAGGGGTCGCATCAGCACAGGACAGCCTGGCTTCTGACTCAAGGTCGGGCTTGTTTCCGCACAGCCTTCTACCTTCCCCGTCTAGAAGACGGGCGAGCCGATAAAGCTTCCTCAGTTTAAAACCAAGCCGGTGTACCGATCCGAGAAACACGCGGAAAGTAGGTAAATCCAAGCGGCACAGATCTGGCAGTGTTTCACATTCCCAAAGGGTCCAAGTACTAGTATAGTATATACTTCTGGGTCCCAAATACCTACTAAGTACCTACTATAATGGTACTTGGACCCTTTGGAATCTGCAAGACGCTGCAAAAAGAACTCGCAACAGCCGTGAAAACCCGCTAGAATCGTCTAGCGCCTCTGCCTTGGCCGGGAGCCATGGCTGGGACCAGGAATACCTATAGTTCCGTTTTTTGGTTTAACCAATTCTATATTAAGGATCCCAAAAGGTAACGCCAAAAAGGAACTACAATGGAGACTATAGGTAGGCTCCATGAACACTGGCAACCTTCCCGAGCTGAAGACTCGGAGGGGAATCTGGCATCTCAGAATCCTCTTTAAGTGCCGTCTGAAGGAGGCGAGTGCAAAAGGGCAATGGCCTGGGCACTCGTCATGGCCCAGAGACAAGAATCGGCAAGACCCCTCGTACCATGAAGCGGCTACGGCGGCGAGCCACCGGCGACCAAGCCGAAAGAAATCTGAGCTGAGACCCCAGAGAGGCCTAGAAAAAGAGAAGGCCAGGCTTAAATAATAATTCGTTCATTGGAAAATGGCGGTTTCGGTGTTTTTTCGCCAGACTCCAACGAAGGAATCGCCATAGTCCAACGAAGCGCCCGGATTCGTTGAATATGGCCCGGCCTTCGTTGGAACTTGGCGCTTCATTTTCCGACGAAAGGCCCGGATTCGTTGGAATATGGCGATTTGGAACTCGCCACGAACCCGCCATATTTCCAACGAATGCCCGGCCTTCCGTGGAAAATGGCACTTGCGGCGGCGGGTTGAGGGCCTGGGGTCGTTGAATCGTAGGGTCGTAGGGGTTAAGGGTTCAGGATATAGGTTTTTGGGCTTCGGATCTATAAGCTATAGGATTAATAGAAAAGATATGGTTTGTCAGTGTTGAGGGTTCCTGGGTGTGTATTTTTCTAGGATCAAAACAGCGAGCTCGACTAGAGACTGCTTGATTCGGAGCTGCTGAACCCCAAGCCCTAAAGCCTGAAGCCTAAACCCCAAGCCTCAAACTAAACCCCAAACCCCAAACCCCAGACCCCCAGCCCCCAAGCCCAAACCCCAACTCCCAAACCTCAAACCCCAAATCCCCAAACCCTAAACCCCCTAAACCCCAAACCACAAATCCTACACCCAAACTCCAACTCCTAAACTCCAAACCCCAAGCCGCAAACCCCAAATCCTAAACCGCAAACTACAAACCCTTAACCCCAAACCCCAAGCCCCAAATCCTAAACCCCAAAGCCTAAAGGCTAAACCCCAAACCCCAAACCCCAAACCCCAAGCCCCAAACCCCAAACCCCAAGCCCCAAGCCCCAAAGCCTAAGCCCCAAACCCTAAAGCCTAAGCCCTGAACCCCAAAGCCTAAACCCAAAACCCCAAACCGCAAACCCTAA